CACTGAAAATCTGCTTTAGAGCAGTGCTTCCCAACCTTGGGTTCCCAGATGTTCTTGGACTAAAACTCTAAGAAGCCTTCACCTCCAACTCTGCTGGCCAGCATTTCTGGGAATTGTAGTCCAAGAACATATTGGGACCCAAGGTTGAGAACCACTGCTTTAAAGGGTTGTTTTAGACTTCATATAAATTTGGTAATTTACATGCAACTGGTAGACAAGCAGTTATTCATTGCTTGTCTTAATAAAGGCAAAGGGCCCAAGCTTCCTGTAAATTGTTGGCTTTGTTTGTCCATAGGCAATGCTAAGCATTTGCCCATAAATCTATCCTTCAACATTCTCTGACAGTGGACAACCTTCCTCAGTTCACCTTGGTCATTTTTGAATGTGTTATATATAATCATGGGTTATATGCAATCAAATATGATACATTATTTTTGAATATTTAAATAATCTCAGGTTGGAAGGTAGGATCCATTTCAACTGTATAGGTATTTCACTGTGTATTGAGTTTCCTTTACGTAATACAACTACATAGTAGCATTTACTGGGAATTGCCTTGGCCATTTTATAATTGCAGATTAAATTGCATATTCATGGAACTGAAAAAACTCCCTGATGGCCATTTAGTCTAAACCCCTGCTGATGCAGGAAATCCACAGCTAAAGAGTCCCTGACAGATGGCTCTCCAGCTGCTACTTAAAAAAATGCCTGTGAAGAAAACTCCACTACCTTCTGAGATGACGAGCTATTTGACAGTGGAATGGGCTGTGATTTTATCAGTCTCCTTTCTTATAACTACCCTGTTTCCCCGAAAATAAGACCTAACCTGAAAATAAGCCCTAGTATGGTTTTTTAGGATGCTTGTAATATAAGCCCTATCCCAAAAATAAGTCCCAGTTAAGTGAAACCCCGCCCTCCACCATTGTGCAGCAACCAAGAGATGACATGACTGTAAAATAAAACATTGCTTGAAAATAAGCCCTAATGCATTTTTGGAGCAAAAATTAATATAAGACCCTGTCTTATTTTCAGAGGAACATGGTAAATCCATTACTTTAGAACCTTCCCTCTGAAGCCATGGAAAACAAGCTTGCTCCATCATCTGTGTCAGTTTTAGGGTGCAGTTCTAGACATTTTTGCCTCCTAGTGATCTTCCTGGGCAATACTTGTCATTAGAAATATAAAAGTCTGTTAAAAAATGTTAGTTTTTATCATATGTTCATATGTGGTAGACTTGCATGGTTAAAAGCCTTTGAAAACTAGTCCATGAGATTTTACAAAAAATGATATCTTGTACAATTCCATATGAACCTGAGCTGTTTTTGTTGAGTATAATACCAGATTTGATAGAAAAAGAAAAAAGGTATTTGATCATATTTGATCAGCAATAATTTTATATGCCAAATACTGGGGGGAAAAGAGGAGACACCAACAATCCAGGAGTCAATAGAAAAAATTTTCAAAGCAGCAGAGATGGATATTTTAACTGAAGTATTAAAAGACAAAGAAATTGTTGAGGCTAGAAAAAAATGGGAACCTTTGTATAATTGGATGAGAGATGAGAACATGAATAGGTTAAGATTATAAGAAAGAAGACATAAGATATAATTGTAGATCTTAAAGACTTAGAAAAAAATTGGCAAGATTAGTGTGGCATAAACTTAGTAAGAAAGCATATAGATAAAAGTAATAATAATATATATTGTTCTCTACCACATTCTGTATTTTTTAAATTTATCCCAGTACCTTGTTCCGAATCCCATTCCCTGTGATCTTCCCTGGCCCAATAAAAGATGAATTTTTAAAAAAAGAAATAAATGTATGTCTGCACTATCAGTGTTATCACAAACTTATAGGATAATACTGTTAGTGTGCCAAATTATTGTATACTATTGATGTTACATTTAAGTTTTACAAAACTGATTTTTCATTACTTGATTAGAGTTCACATCTAAGAGGGGTGGGTATGTTAGAAAAGTCCTTTGTAATGCATTTATCTTTAAGTATTTGATAAAGAAACAAAGACATTTTAAGTATATATTATTCCATTAGAAGCTCAATAACAAAAGACACATTTTGGCCTTGTTGACCTGATGGAGTGTGGCACCCATCTGAACTTACATATCTGGGCCCTCAAATCAGAAGTAGTGCTTGTGTGCCTACCAGTAAGCTCAATTAAGATGATGCTGAGCATAAAAAAAGAGGACACTTTCTTTTGTGATTCGATCTTTATGGCAACCCACTCTGAGGTACATACAAGGGTTTCTCCATGGCTTTGTTTGTTTGTTTTCTGTTTGTTTTTGGTAAGGTTTTAAAGACCCAGGGGTTCCAGGCTGGGATTTTTTTTTCTGTTGTAGTTCATCTGGTATATCAGTTAACTATTTGTACTCAAATGGTATCTGCCCCCACTCGTGTTGTAAGACACACTTTAGACCTGGTCTTCTTTACTAGGGTAGATGTGGGTGATTTGCATGTGGAGGAACTCTCTGTAGTTCTGTTGTCATGGACAGATCATCTGGTGAGATTTAGACTCGTTGGAACTCAGGGGTAGGGGGGCAGATGAAGATGGTCTGCCCCAAGAGACTGATAAATCGAAGTGGCTTCCTGATGGCTCTTGGGAAGTCGCTTTGGTGGGCAATTCTGTTGAAGATTTGGTTGGTGTCTGGAATAGGGTAATGGCCAGGGCTATTGACACAATCTCCCCTAAGCATCCACTTAGCAAAGTAGAGCCAAATTGGCTCCTGGTTTACTGGGGAGCTGGTGGTAATGAAATGAGCGGAATGAAGACATTTTCCATAGACATTCCCACGTTGAGTGTGTTATAGTAATCCAGCTGGGATGGAACTAAGACATATGTCACAGTGGCCAGATCAGACTTCTCAACGAACAGACGCATCTGGCATCCAGTCTTAGCTATTAATTCAGGAGCACCCCCAAACTGTGCACCTGTATTTCCAGAGGGAGTGTAACCCTGTCCAGCATAGGCTCCATTCCTATTCCTTGATCCACTTTTGGACCAATCAGGAACACCTTTGTTTTTCTGGATTAAGTTTCAGTTTATTCACCCTCATCCAGTCCATTACTGATTGTTGTTTAGTCGTTAAGTTATGTCCGACTCTTCGTGACCCCATGGACCAGAGCACGCCAGGCCCTCCAGACACTAATCTTAGAGTCAAAATGGCTTCCTCAGATTTAGATGGCATGGATTGGTAGAGTTGGGTGCCAGCTGCATACTGGTGACACCGATCCCCGAAACTCCGGACAGCTTCTACTAGTGGTTTCATGTAAATGTTAAATAACATAGGAGACAAAACATAACCTTGAGAGACCCAGTCACCGAAGCTATATCTTCAAATAGTGATTGGGATGAAATGTTCACTCATCTTAACATACGTTAAGTTTATAAACTGAACAATCCTAGGCTATGAGAAACCACATCTTGTTTTCCAAATAGAGCCACAATTAATCAATGGATTAAAATAAGTTTTATTAGCTGTCCCTTTTTAAAGCACCTTCTTCTTTAACATAATTTTCTTCTAATAATATCTGTTGAAGAAGCATTTTCAGCTTGAGCTCTAGGGCATTGAGAGTATTAAAGGTAAAGATTCCCCTTGACATTTATTCCAGTCGTGTCCAACTCTATGACGTGGTGCTCATCCCTATCTCCAAGCTGCAGAGCCAGCGTTTGTCGGTAGACAGTTTCCGTGGTCACGTGGCCAGTGTGATTAGACACAGCACGCCGTTACCTTCCCACGGTGGTGGTACCTATTTATCTACTTCCATTTACATGCTTTCGAACTGCTAGGTTAGCAGGAGCTGGGACAAGCGACGGGAGCTCAGTCCGTTGCGTGGATTCGATCTTACGACTGCGGGTCTAGTAACCTTGCAGCACAGAGGCTTCTGCGGTTTAACCCGCAGCGCCACCATGTCCCACTTATTGAGAGTATTAGTGTGTGGCTAAACCACTTTTTAGAAGCATCTTCCAACATTTAAATATGTTACTTATTTAGTCTCTTTCCAGTCATTTTACGTACTCTGAATGAGGGGTGGAGAAGGGAGCTTGTGGAATGGTATTTGTTTTCAGAAGATTAAAACCAGGTCATTTGGCTACTAACCAGATACTTGGCAGCAGCAGGTCCACTGGCTGTTTGCCCTTTCTCATTCTTTTTATTTTAATGTGCTGAAACATGAGAAGAGAAAAATGTAACATAGAATTAAACTCTGATGAAAAAAATTCAAACCCTATAAATTGCTCAGAGTTTTGTTTTTTAATGTTTTAGTTTCTGCTTTTCCAGAATTAACTTATCTACTTAAAAAAATCCTAGAGCAAGGACATTTCGGTCCACATGGCACATGTGGGGTGGGACGGGACAAAATAAAGTCAATATAAAATAGAAGCTTGTGAATTCTCCTGTCCTCTTTGTGAGCTAGTGAAGGATGAGGTGAGGATAAAAGAGATACCACTGCTACTTTTTTATAGAATTCACAAATTAGCATAAGAAGTTCTTGACAATAGAAGCAGCTTTGGCTCTATGAAACCTTGGCAGATCTTTTGAACAGACATTGAAATCAATGAAGCATGTTTGAGTTTCTTCAAAAACGAAGTCTCTGATTTTCCTTTGGAATGCCTAAGGCCAAGCCCTATCTTTTAGAAAATCTACTTGTTGACATATTCAGTGAAGAACATACTGGAACTAGAACATATCCAGAATGGAGCTACATGGAAATACACTGAAGTCTTGATTGTGCATGCTTCACTGCTGACCTGTGGTATTTGTCACTTTGATATTGTTTTCTTTATCATTTTTCTAAGAATACTGTGGCCTGCTGATACAGCAGCTATTGAAAATACTGGAAGAAAAACAATACGGCATTCTAAAAACTACTTAGTAAACCTTCTTGATAGACTGACTAGGCTTGTATTTTTTATTGTGAAAATTACTAACATATGGCTTCTCTTTCCTCCCCATTCTACCCCACCACCCATTTTCTTTTTGCAGAAGATGCAGACTACAGTGCCTTTGGAACAGATACCATAACCAAGAAGAAAAATGTCTTAACAAATGTATTGCGTCCAGATAACCATAGAAAAAAGCCTCACATTGTTATTGGTATGCCACAGGACTTCAGACCAGTGTCTTCTATTATAGATGTAGACATTCTTCCAGAAACCCATCGCAGAGTGAGGCTTTATAAATATGGAACTGATAAGCCTCTAGGATTTTATATTCGGGATGGTTCTAGTGTCAGGGTAACATCCCATGGCCTAGAGAAAGTACCAGGCATTTTCATATCCAGGCTTGTTCCCGGAGGCTTGGCTCAAAGCACAGGTTTGCTTGCTGTTAATGATGAAGTTCTAGAAGTGAATGGTATAGAAGTTTCAGGGAAAAGCCTTGATCAAGTTACAGACATGATGATTGCTAACAGCCGCAACTTGATCATTACTGTGAGACCAGCGAATCAGAGAAATAATGTTGTTAGGAACAGCCGGACTTCTGGTAGCTCAGGACAGTCTACAGACACCAGCCTTCCAAGTTACACTCCACATACTATTCCTATCTACCAACCTGATGAGGAGGAAGACAGTGATGAGGACGATATCATCATTGAAGATAATGGTGAACCACAGCAAATTCCAAAAGCTGCTCCTTCCAGTGAAAGTCTAGAGTCACTAACACAGACTGAAAACCATCATGAATCAATGCAAAATGGCTTAATTTCTTCAAGAGAAGGAAATTTGTATTGTTCAGTGAGCAGCATTAATATGGAATACAACATCCAGGACTCCCAAAAGCCTTTAGAAGAAGATGGAACAATTATAACATTGTGAATCTACATCAGTTTATTTACTTTTTGAAATTAAAAGGCAATTTTTTCACTTGGCTGTACTTAAAGCAGAACATACCTCTTAATTATCATGTTCCGGTCACTTCTTATTTCTAATACAGAGCTATAATTTACGTCATTTTTTCCATTTTGACATATAGCTGAGTGAGTAGTATTTTGGAACATGGGCTGGTTCTCATGTTAAAGTTTCAGACAGGACTGAAACTATGCAGACTCTTCCCACCCACATTTCACTAAACAGTATAGAGGTGGTTTTGAGATAAAGTGTGGCTAGAGATGTGAGAAGGAATTTAATAGTATAAGGTTCCTGTCTTGATATTTGCTTGTGTGGATTACTATACAGTACATATATTTTAACCTAATTCTGTTAGTACAGTCTCATTCCTCATATGAGAAGAAGCCTAAATAGTACCTTATTTCAGCACAAAAATATTGAAGAATCTTGTCCACTGGTTACAGCTGTTTTAGCTCTCCCCAATCCAGTCACATGTTAAATTAAATCTTTCGGAGTGATTAATGATAAGTGTCAGATAATATTTTTAATTATTGTAACATTTAAACAATGTATATTACTAGAAAGGAGAGCCCACTGGACTGATTGATGCACTGGGTAGCTGAGAGATACAACTATGTTGTAACTTTTAAAATTAATATTTGATTATATTGTGATCTACTACTGATGATTGAGGGATAAATCTTCATTGCAAATTAGGTAACTATCTGAAAATTGTTAAGTTGCTTGACTGGTTATACTATGTATAGCTGTGTACATTTTGCTATTTAATGAGGGAAACAAAGATCTTAAAATCTTATGATGAAATCAGGATCCATTAAAACAATGCAGTTTTCAGTTTCCATCAGTGAGAGTCAGAGTAATGACATCAAGAGCTCACAGCCATTGAGCAGTTGCCAGAGCCTACCACTGATGCATGACTTTCCTCTTCCCTTGTCCATAGTTCTTGTCTGGTACTCTGAGCTAAATTTGAGATCCAGACCCCTTTTTATTTCATCCCGGCATCTAACCTGGTATTGCTCTGGTGCGATACTAGTTTGGCTAATTTAGACTGCCAACGTAGTCAGGTAAGCCAAGAGGAGGGAGCCCATCAGAGATACTTTGCTCAGTGTCCTCTGAAATCTAGAACTGGCCCTGTGTTATTATACCTATAATGTAAAAGTCATACAAATATTCTTCATCTGGCTATCCTAACGGGTTCTTTTAATTTATAATATCTGGTACTGTTGCGTGTGTTATGGAATGGATTGCATTATTTCTAAATACATAAGCAAGTTTTAATGATGAACTAGGATATCAGGATTCTTACAGTTGGGGTAATGGCTTTGTATGAAGGGTCTTCTGTATTGAAAAGACAAACTGTATATATTCATGAATAAACCATTTGGTTTTTTAAGTTGCTTTCCCTTCAACAAAGAGCTTTTAAAAAAAAATAAAGCTGTTAGCAAATAACATATTTTTATTTTATCTTTTGGGCATGTGCTTTTAACTTTATCTTCACATAATTGTGGCAATCTGACTAAAAGAAGGTGTAGTTCCATAAACTGATATGATAATCTGATTGCATACTTTTTCATCACAGGTACATATGTTTGATATCATTATTGATCTAACATGGCAAGTCATACTGTAAAAGAAATACTAAATGTAAGATTGTTAACTTACACAGAAGCATGAAACCAAACTATTAGTGGAAGAGTTGGGTGTTAATTTATTGTGGAAACATAGACATATAGAATTATTGTGCTGCTTAATTCATCAGTTTCCATATTTTTATACTTGGCAGCAATCATATGCATGCCCATTTTGGATATGTTACCCTGCAATTATAGAATAAGGAACTGGTTTCTTAATTATGCTTAAATTTTATTCCTTAAGTAAATAACCTTAATCAGATAGCTTTATAATGATGTGGAGTGTGCTCTACATATATATATGTATGCACACATACATGCATACACACATACTCTTGTAAAAAATAAAGCAAAGTTAACTTGAGATTGTTTTATAATACTTAAAAATTAAACATTGAGAATTTGACAAAAAAAATAAATGAACACTGGTGGAGTGACAAGCAAAGAGTCCGTACATTTTGCTATTAAACTGACAGGCTGCTCTGCATATAATTGCAAAGTAATGCAGCTGCCATGGTGATAGAAGTGTAAACAGTTTATCACTACTGATTTTTAAAAAGTAAATCTTATAAAATCAACTTCTTGAAATAAAATACAGCTAATTTTAATTTTATATGTAAAACAATACTGAGCTTCAGTATAATTAAGCAATGATGTAGATTTTCATATACTGTACTACCTCTTAAACCTTTAACAGTCAACACCTGAGGAGGGGCTGTCTGTCCCCTGCTGGAGGAATACATGAAGGCATAATATGTATACTTTTTTTAAACTATAAGACTGACTGACAGTAAGGAACTTAGATTTTATTTGAAGTTTTAATATTCTGTTGTGTGCTCTTAGTATCCATGTATATGCACATTCTCAGTTTTTGATTAAAGCTTACATTACTACCCTGTTTCCCCTAAAATAAGACCTAACCTGAAAATAAGCCCTAGTATGATTTTTCAGGATGCTCGTAATATAAGTCCTTCTCCAAAAATAAGCTCTGGTTAAATGAAACTCCACCATTGTGCAGCAACCAGAATATGACATGACTGTATTTGAATAAATGTATATGGTTGTACATGACAAAAATGAAACATCCCCTGAAAATAACCCCTAATGCTTTTTTGGAGCAAAAAGTAATATAAGACCCATCTTATTTTCAGGGAAACAGAGTATGTGTGAACAGATAATTTGGGTTGCTTCATCAGAGATTCAAAGTGCTTTAGATAGTGTACTCATTTACAATGAGAAGTACAGTACTTAAACCCTCTCTCAGCAGTTTGAAGACAGATTATACTTTTAAACGCACCTTATCTGAAAGAGCAAAATATGAGTACAATAGTAACCTTTGGGGGAACTGTTTTATAGTTCCAGATGAAGTCAAACTGAACTGTGAAATCTTTGTTCTTCCACAGCTGTTATTTGGAATGTTGTTATCATCCTGTACTTTTGTGACTTATGTATTTTCTAACTAAAATCTTTATGCAACATGATTTTTACATGAACATGTATAATATGTCGAATGTCAGTATTTTTCTTACCTCTTTAATGTATGGTATACATCAGTACCACTAAATGAACTTTGATTTTTAAAAAATCAATTTGGCACTAGTTTTATGTTAGACATATTTTTACAAACCTGATAATAAAATGACCTACTACTGTTAATTTAAAACTGGAAAGTCTTTGATAATTTTTATTATACAGGCTAATGATTCTTAAAATATTGCTTATGGATTCTTCCCAGCTCAGGATATAATTCTGAAGCAAAAAGTAGTTTGTAGAGTGTCCATCTATAGTCAGACTTCTCACAAGAGGGAAAAGCAAAAGGATCAAGATCACATGGTTTCCTGATCTCATCATCTCTGAGGACATTGAATTGAAATTGCTACCCTAGTTTCAACCAAAGAAAAAACCAGTTGATTTCTTTTTATATGCATTCTGTATTCTGAACCCTAGAATAATAGACATCTGGTTCTCAATTTCCCATCCAGGCACTGTACAGACTATGATTTACCTTCACACCCTGCCGCAAATCCACTGTTATGTTACTAATATCTAAATTGCTGCTAGTGTAAGCAACGATGTAAGGATGGAATCTGTGTTGCTTGGGAAAAACAGTATTTGGTGTCACCTTTTCAGTGCTAGTGCAACAAGACTTGTGCTTATGCAGTGGTATTGTTGGTTACCGATGTATGTCTTGGAACTGTATGTTAATTTCTGCTGTTTTTAGGAATGCTTGAGTGTTCATGCAACTACTTGTAATTTTGGTGACGCCCTCTTTACAGAAGTGTCCAATTACAGCTGCTGTGTCTTGTACTTTGTCAGACAGGAAATCTTGAATTCATATTTTGCTTTATAGCATAGTGGTTACCAAACCATGTGCCAGGGCACTGCCAAACTCAGCTCACAAGTGTCCTGGGAAACCATGGAGAAAAAAATGGAAATACTATTCAGGCTGTGCTTTCCCCACTCTCACCCAAAGTATTATACTGGGGAGCCATGACCAGTAAATCAAGTGAGCCATGGAACCAATCACTGTACTAAACTATCTGTTATTTGAACTTTCATATAAAAAGTGATGGAATAACATATAACCTCTAGAAATTGTTGGACTGAAACCCCCATCATCCTTCAAGGTTGGCTATGACTCTCGAAGGCGATAGTACAATAATATCTATAGAGCTGAAAATTCTTGTGAATTTTGGGTTGTTTTTTTCCAAAAAGTTCATTTTGTTTTCCAGGCATATTTTTGTAGCTAACCTTCCTTTCTGTGTAAGATAATTATTTCCTTGTTAATGAACTTTCTGAGATGAAACTCTCAACATACAAATATTTTTGAACTGTAACTGTGGTTTTCCCTTCTCCCCATTCATAGGTTCAAACTTCATCTCAGACTGACTTGCTGAATAGTTTCCTTTCAATTCAATTTTATACTTTTCTCTGTTTGCTAACTCACATAGTTATAAATTTCCTGACATTTCTTTTAATGCTACAAAAGATTAAAGTGAGTGGTTTAAAGTTTTCATATATTTCATTTCATAGTGTGGAGATGGGAAACAAATGTTTGCTATGGAGATACAATTTGCCCTTATTTTGCATGCCAATAATTTGCGTTATAGGCATTTGCGAGGTTTCTGACATGTGATGTGTTTTATTATAATTATAATATTATAGGCATTTGCGAGGTTTCTGATTGACATGTGATGTGTTTTATTATAATTATAAATCTCTAGTGTTAAATTGCATATGTGGAGGAGGGATTAAAAACTGCAATACCGTAGTTGAAATTCAGTGCATTGTGAAACATTCTTTATCACAGGTTTCAACATCAATTAAGTACAGTACCATAGCTGAAATTCAGTGCATTGTGAAACATTCTTTATCACAGGTTTCAACATCAATAAGCAATACTGGGTGTGTGTGCATGCTCTCATTCACAAGAAAAGAATGGTTTCAGGTAGATTATGGCTGTGGTCCAGACAGCCACTGAGACCAGAGTATTTTGCACTTATGTCCAATGTAATTTCAAATGTGGGTGAAGTGCCATGAAATCATGAGCCAGCTAGATTTCTGCTATGTAATTTGAAGAGCAGGTAAGTATTAATTCAGTTGTGTTGTGGGTAGTAGGCTGGAGGAAATTGCTGCAAGAATTATTTGCAGAGTCTATACATACTTGCCTGTTATGATGTATGAGCATTATCGCTCCAACACCCTGAACATCACTTTGTTTGCCTGGGAAATGAGAGTAATTGTCCTGCACTCCTTGGCATCTCCTTTCTTAGGGGTTGCTATCCATATTGAATGTGTCCAGACTGTGAGTCATTGTTTTGTTTCCATATTTGCTAGCAAACTGGTTAAGATTTTGAAAGATCTGGTGTTTATGGCTTGAAATAGTTCTATCAGTACTCCATCTCCCCTGGTGATTTGTTTCTTTGTATTGCTTTCAGAACAGGCTTCACTTCACTTTCAGAACTGCAGGTTCTTTGTCATAGGATTAGGGCCTATGACAGAAATCTGTCATCCTTGTATCTCTTCTTTATAGGTCTTCAGTATGCTGTTTCCACATTTCTTTATCCTGGTCAGATAGTGTGATTCCCTGTTGGTCTTTCAGCATTCCTAATCTAGGCTTAAATTTCCCTTTGATTTCATGGATCTTGTGGAAGAAATATTTTGTTTTTCTCTGTTTCTTTGTACTAGCCATTAGAATAGTTTTCTTTGTCTTTATATGACAGACTCTGAAAAGCTGCATTCAGGATTCTGATGCTACTTCTGTCACCTTTTATTTTTTGTTCTCTCCTGTCCTTAACAATGTAAAGTGTTTTTTTTCCGTTGTCCATCTGACTTTTTGCTTTCTTTTTACTACAGGAATTGTATTTTTGCATTCTTCCATAATAATATCTCTGATTTCAATCCCCAGATCTTCTGGTTTTCAGTCAACTGAATCTGTTCTTTATGTGGATTTTAAATTTATCAGAAATTTCTAAATTCTATTTTGGCTCTAAAATTCCTTTAGCACTCTTCTTTAGCTGTACTGTAATCTTCAATCCCCAGATCTTCTGGTTCTCAGTCAAGTGAATCTGATAAATTTATCAGAAATTTTTAAATTCTATTTTGGCTCTAAAATTCATTTAGCACTCTTCTTTAGCTGTACTGTAATGTTCGATATAATAGTTCACAATCAGTACCACAATCAGCTTCTGGTCTTTTGGGACAAGGAACATAACTTCTTCATCTCCTGCTTCCAATTACAGTCTATTTCATTTCTATATTGGCCATCTGATGTTCACATGTACAGTTGTCTGTTTGGTTGCCTGAAGCATATATTGACAATAAATGGATTGTTGGTGTCGCAGACCTTTATGATTCATTCTCCTGCTTCATTTCTGACCTCGACCAAATTTTCACAATTGGTTCTGCTTTACCTCCTACTTTTGCATCCCAGTCATCATAATTATAAGCATGTCTTGTTTTGGTGTGTGATCAAGTTCCTCCTGGATGCTTGCATAAAAGCTTTCAATTTCATCTTCTTTAGTATTGGTAGCTGGAGTATATGCTTGAATGATGGCTATATTGATAAGTTTTCCCTGATATCTGATAGATATTATTCAGTCAGATGTTGCATTACAGCCCCCACATCTGTACTACATTCTTGCCTCAGTATTAGAGACACCCTTCTGAAGCTTTTAGAAAAAGTATTCTATTGAGATGTATCAAATAAAGGTATTTCTTACTTCGCTGCAAAAGACTCAAATGAGCCCAAGTGCCAAAATCTGTCAACAAGGTTGGCATACTAAGGAAATTTCCCTTGATACACCATCCTTGTTGACAGATTTTGACACTTGGGCTCATTTGAGTCTTTTGCAGTAGAGTAAGAAATACCGTTATTTGATACATCTCAATAGAATACTTTTTCTAAAAGCTTCAGAAGGGTGAGCAAGAAGCCAAATGAGAAGGTCTTGGCTCTGGTTGCATTGAGGTCAAGGTGCTGAAGGAACATGAACACTCCAGAAGACTTAAAAGTATGGTGTGCTGGGGGCACATGAAATAAAATAATGTTTTAAGTAATTACATAGTACAATTGTGTCAGAACTTACATTGTGCAACAAAACTACCATATAATGCGTGTGTTACACTGGTAATCTCACCTGAAATGCTTAAACCCCTATAGCAATGTATCTCTTTCTATTCTGTGACTAAAGCCTGAAGCAGGTTTTTCATGGTTTATGGTTGCATACCCAACTTGTGTAATCATGGGTGTGTACCTTTTACCCATTGCTTATTTTTCACATGAGAGCAGGTTGGTCTTTAACCTACACTGCACAATGACTTAATCCTCAGGTGTTCTCTTCGGAGCCAGCGATATAGTTGCTCTTCGGCAATTGGTGCTACTTTTACAAACGTGGCTTTATTTGCAGTTGAAATTCCTCGAGGAACAGAAGAGGAAACAGCAGGAATATAGTGAGATTTCAAAGAATGATATGTGAATGAGAGAAAGAACCAGTTAGACTGTAGGACATACTCTTGTGACATACCTTAGTCTCACTGCTTAGAAACAGGAATATAGTTAAATTTTTTAATTTACCTAAC